CTTTGGGCTACTCTTTTACCAACGAATAGTGGGATTGACTGTCATATTATAACGCCCCCACGGCTGAAATGGCGAAAGGGCGAGCATGTTTGGTGGAACGGGATTTGAACCCGCGACCCTCAGATTGCGAGTCGAGCGCCCTAACCCCCTGGCCATGCCGGCCCGACCTTTTCAGTACTGGACAATTCAAAGCGCGTTTTCTTCTCAGGAGGATTTGTATTTAGTGAGAAAGTTGGAATATGAAGACATGGATGAAAGTAGAACAGATAATCACGAATGTTTCATAAGTGAACAAGAGGGTATACTAAATAGCCGCGGCACTTGAAATTATTTTAGACACGATTAGAGTAAATTAATGTATGAGACCTTTTTCCCCCATTTTTATTAGCCATATTTTTGTGCGTCAGGGACCCGCGTATACACGATTCAGTTTTATCGGTCATCAGGATAGTTATCAGCCTACCCTCAAATTGAAATTATTTTAGGCAGGATTAGAGTAAATTAATCTATGAGACCTTGAGCGAGGTCAAATACACCAATCGAAAGGGTTTGACCTCCTGAGTCCAAAACTATAATTAGATCTCAGATCGGCTAGGAGATGGCGGAGCTATGAGCTAAAAGTTTGTAATTGAAAACAACAACAACAACAAAAAACTCAGAGTCGTTCTATCAGCCGTTATGCCGAGGCTAATAAAGAGCTCAACTATACGAATCCAATAACAGGTACAATTTGATAAGAGGTAGGGCTGAGCGTTTCCTAGTGGTTGGCGTGCTGGACTGCGAATATGAGGGTCCAAGTTTGGCGTCCAATTGCTGCAAAAACGAGCTACACACTTTGGGACCGTCGGTGAGTAATAAGAGTGATGGTAAAATCCTGCTCTTCGATTAAACTAATTAAAAGTTTGATGACGATGTTTGTTGTTGAGTAGTTGCTTTCCCTCTGGAATATCATTTAAAAATTAGGGGCTGCTAATAGATTTTAGTACCACTGCTATCATCAATTGGTTCATAAATTAAGCGTAATCCTACCTTCCCCACTTACTGGTTTGTTTATTCATCCAGTGAAATAGACTTTAAGATCGTAAAAAACTAAGATTGTTTGTTTGTTTCAGAAATGTGCACAAAATACACAAGGGGGAAGACTTGTGGTCAAAGTTAAGCAAACTCTAATTTTTGAATATGTTTGCGAAAATTTATTTATGAGAAAATCATAAAGGTTCTAGCACACTTACTTGCATTTGAGAGGCATTACTTTTCATTATATATATATTTTTATAATATTCAAAAGTCATTGTTTGTTTGTTTCTTTATAATTAAGCACAAAGCTATACAATGGGCTATCTGTGCTCTGCCCACCACGGGTATCGAAACCCGGATTCTAGCGTTGTAAGTCCGCAGACATACCGCTGTGTCACTGGGAGGCTAAAAGTCATAGAAGAGTGATAAAGGGAAACTGAAAAGTGGGGACTTAGAAAAATTTTGCACGTCATTGTATGGTTTGGATGTGTTGTTAAACAGAAAGTTACGCAATAGTCCATCTATGCCCTGCGCATCGCGCATACCAAACCCCGATTTTTAGTGTTATAAGCCCCCAGACTTACAGATGGGCTGTCAGGAGGCGCGCGATTTTGGATATCAGACTTCCTCAAACTCTAAATTTGGTTTCAAATAATTTACTTGGTAGTCTGTTCAATTTATTTTATTCCTCTTTGACATTGACAGTCTTTTTGGAGATTAGAAAATGCTGAATTTAGATATAAATTTAGTTTAATATTTTTTCGTACTGATGATTCCAGTTAGCCTAACAAAATCATCTAATGATTATTAAATATGATTCTTTACGATCCCGCCCGGCAATGAAATAGTTAAATGAGCCAAGGCTTAATACAAGGGCATTTTCGTGTGTCTATTTGATTGAGCTTTAACTTTAATTCAGTTGTCAGTTTATACCGTCCTTAATTTTCAGTTTGCTAATGCGATTTTAGCTCACAAAAGAAAGTTTTATTTTCACTCAGTTACAGTTGTTTTCACTAAATTACAGTTTCTTCCTATATTTACACTTAAACAGTTTCTTTCATTTTAATTCAATAATCCTCTATCTCAGGGGTTCCCAAACTTTTTAGAATCGCGACCCACTATTCATGACCACAGCTTACGGCGGCCCACTCAAATTTACTGGGCATAAACATATGAAAGAATATAAAAACATATTATTTATTCATATTCACGTATTTCAATTACATTTAAAAATACTCACGTATTTTCAATAACATTTCCAGAACTTATAAATAGTTA